TTTTCCTAGTTCCATCCTTTTGCATACAAATTTCAAGATGTTATTTTTTTTACTGCTTAGTTGTACTCTAATGTGTAAATGTGCCACATTTTCTGTATCCATTCTTTGGTTGAGGGGATCTAGGTTGTTTCAAGATTCTGGCTATTAAAAATGATGCTGCTATGAACATACAAATGTCCTTGTAGTATGATTGAGCATCTTTTGGGTATATGCCCAAGAGAGGTATTGCTGGGTCCTGAGGTAAGTTTATTCCCAATTTTCTGAGAAACTGCCATACTGATTTCCAGAGTGGTTGTATAAGTTTGCTTTCCTATCAGCAATGGAGGAGTGTTTCCCTTACTCCACATCCTCTCCAGCATACGCTATCATTGGTGTTTTTGATATTAGTCATTCTAACTGGTGTAAGATGGTATCTCAGAGTTGTTTTGATTTGTATTTCCCTGATGGCTAAGGATGTTAAATATTTCCTTAAGTTTCTTTGTCCATTTGAGATTCTTCTGTTGAGAATTCTCTGTTTAGTTCTGTATTTTATTTTTAAATTCAGTTATTTAGAATTTTGATGTCTAATTTCTTGAGTTCTTTATATATTTTGTAGATCAGTCCTCCGATGTGGGGTTGGTTAAGATCTTTTCCCATTCTGTATGCTGCCTTTTTATCTTATGGACTGTGTCCTTTGCTCTACAGAAGCTTCTCAGTTTTATGTGTCCTTTGCTCTACAGAAGCTTCTCGGTTTTAGGAGGTCCCATTTATTTGTTGTTGATCCCAGTGTCTGTGCTACTGGTGTTAGATTTAGTAAGTAATCTCCTGTGCCTATGCATTGATAGCTGCTTCCCACTTTCTCTTCTATCAGGTTCAATTTGGTCAGATTTATATTGAGGTCTTTAATCCATTTGGACTTTGTTTTGTGCATGGGGATAGATATGGATCTATTTTCATTCTTATATGTGTTGACATCCAGTTATGCCAGCACCATTTGTTGAAGATACTTTCTTTTTCTCATTGTATAATTTTAGCTTCATTAACAAAAATCAAGTGTTCATAGGTGTGTGGATTAATATCCAAATCTTTGATTCAATTACATTGGTCAACCACTCTGTTTTTATGCCAATACCAAGCTGTTTTTATTACTGCATCTCTATAATAGAGTTTGATGTCAGGGATGGTGATGCCTCTGGAAGTTTCTTTATTGTACAGTATTGTTTTGGCTATCTTGGTTTTCTTGTTTTTCTCATATAAAGTTGAGTATTATTCTTTCAATGTCTGTAAAGAATTTTGTTGGAATTTTGATGGGGATTGCATTGAATCTATAGATTGCTTTTTATAGGATTACAATTTTTATGTTGATCGTACCTATCCAAGAGCATGGGAGATTTTCTTATTTTCTGGTGTCTTCTTCAATTTCTTTCTTCAAGACTTATAGTTCCTGACAAGCAGGTCTTTCACTTCTTTGATTAGTTTTATCCAATAATATTTTATGGTATTTGTGGCTATTGTCAAGGATGATGTTTTCTGATTTTTTTCTGAGCTTCTTTATCATTTGTAGATAAGAGGGCTACTTTTTTTGAGTTGATCTTGTATCCTGTTACATTATTGAAGGTATTTATCAGCTGTAGAAGTTTTCTAGTAAAGTTTTTGGGGTAACTTATGTATACTATCGTATTAAAGGCAAATAGCAAAAGTTTGACTTCTTCCTTTCCAATTTGAATCCCCTTGATGTCCTTTTGCTGTCCTATTCCTCTAGCCAGAGCTTCAAGGACTATGTTGAATAGATATGGAGAGAGTATACAGCCTGTGTTCCTGATTTTAGTGGAATCATTTTGAGTTTTTCTCCATTTAATTTGATGTTGGCTGTTTGCTTGCTATATCTTGCTTTTACTATGTTTAGATATGGTCCTTATATCCCTAATCTCTCCAAGACCTTTATCATGAAGGGGTGCTAAATGTTTTCGAATGCTTTTTCGGCATCTAATGAGATGATCATATCTTTTTTTCTTCAGTTTATTTATATGGTGGATTACATTGATAGATTTTCATATGTTGAACCATCCCTGTATCTCTGGAATGAAGCTGACTTGATCATGATGGATGATTTTTTGATGTGTTCTTGGATTCAGTTTGCCAGTATTTTATTTAGTATTTTTGTATCTGTGTTCGTGAGTGAGATTGGTCCTTAATTCTCTTTCTTGTTTGAATCTTTGTATGATTTCAGTATCAGGGCAACTGTAGCCTCATAGAAAGTATTTGGTAATGTTTCTTCTGTTTCTATTATGTGGAAAACTTTGAGGAGTATAGGTATTAGCTCTTCTTTGAAGCTATGGTAGAATTCTGCACTGAAACTTTCTGGCCCTGGGATGTTTTGTGTTGGGAGGCTTTTGATGACAGCTTCTATTTCCTTGCAGGTAATAGGTCTATTTAAACTGTCCACCTGGTCTTGAATTAATTTTGGTATGTGTTACCTATCCAGAAATTTTTCTTATGTCTTTTACGTGTTCCAATTTTGTGGAGTACAGGTTTTTGTAGTATGACCGAATGATTCTCTGGATTTCCTCAGTGTCTGTTGTTGTGTCCCCATTTTCATTTCTGATTTTGTTAAGTTGGATGTTCTCTTTCTGCCTTTTGATCAGTTTGGATAAGGGTTTGTCTATCTTGTTGATTTTCTTAAAGAACCAGCTGGTAGTTTCATTGATTCTTTGTATTGTTTTCTTTGTTACTATTTTATTGATTTTAGTCCTCAATTTGATTATTTCCTGCCTTCTACTCCTCCTGGATACATCTGCTTCTTTTTGTTCTAGAGCTTTCAGGTGTGCTCTTAAGTCACCAGTGTGAGTTTTCTCCACTTTATTTATGTAGGCACTTATACTTATGAACTGTCTTCTTAGCATTGCTTTCATAGTGCCCAGTAGGTTTGGATACGTTGTGTCTTCATTTTCACTGAAATCTAGGAAGTTTGTAATTTCTTTCTTTACTTCTTCCTTGATCCAGGGGTTGTTCAGTTTTTCACTGTTCAATTTTCTTGAATTTGTAGGCTTTCTGCAATTAGTGTTGCTGTTGGATTCTAACTTTAAACAATGGTTATTCAATAGGATACAGGGAGTTACTCCTATTTTTTTGTATCTGTACAGGTTTGCTTTGTTACCAAGTATATGGTCAATTTTAGAGGAGGTTCTATGAGGTGCTGAAAAGAAGATATATTCTTTTGTGTTTGGGTGAAATGTTCTATAAATGTCTGTTAATTACATTTGAGTCATGATATCTGTTAGTTCCCTTATTTCTCTGTTAGTTTTCTGTCTGGTTGACCTATTCATTGGGGTGAGTGGGGTGTTAAAGTCTCCTACTCTTATTGTGTGAGTTTTGATGCATGATTTAAGCTTTAGTAATGTTTCTTTCACATATGTGGGTGTTCTTGTATTTGGGACATAGATGTTCAGGATTGAGACGTCATCTTGAAGGATTGTTCCTGTGATGAGTATAAAGTGTCTTTCTCCATCTCTTATGATGATTTTAGTTTAAAGTCTATTTTGTTTGATATTAGAATAACTACACCCACTTATTTCTTAGGTCCATTTGATTAGAAAATCTTTTCCCAGCCATTTACTCTGAGGTAATATCTGTCTTTGAGGTTGAGGTATGTTTCTTGTATACAGCAGAAGGCTGGATCCTGTTTTCATATCTATTCTCTTAGCCTATGTCTTTTTATAGGTGAATTTAGTCCACTGATTTAAGAGATATTAATGACCAGTGATTGTTAATTCCTGTTATTTTTCAGTGGTAGTGTGTGTGTTTCCCTTCTTTGGGTTTTGTTGGTGTGAGGTTATCTGTGGCCTGTGTTTTTGTGGGTGTAGTTAGCTTCCTTGTTTGGGGGTTTTCCTTCTAGTACTTTATATAAGGCTGGATTTGTGGATAGGTATTGTTTAAATCTGGTTTGTCATGGAATATTTTGTTTTCTCCATCAATGGTGATTGAAAGGTCTGCTGGGTATAGTAGTCTGGGCTTGCATCCATGGTCTCCTAGTGTCTGCAGCACATTTGTCCAGGAACTTCTGACTTCATGGTTTCCATTGAGAAGTCGGTGTAATTCTGATGGGTCTGCCTTTATATGTTACTTGGTCTTTTTCCTTTGCCACTCTTAATAGTCTTTCTCTATTCTGTATGTTTTGTGTTTTGATTATTATATGGTGAGAATGCTTTTCTTTTTGTGATCCAGTCTATTTGTTGTTCTGTAAGCTTCTTGTACCTTCATAAGGAGGTACTTAGTCTTACTGTAACTTGATATGTCATGTTATGTTGATACTTATGGGAGGCCTGCCTTTTCCCAAACAGAAATGGAGGAGGAATGGATTGGTGGGGTGAAAACAGAGGGGGTTGAGGGTAGGGACTAAAAAGAGAGAAAGAAGAGAAAATTGCAGCTGAGATATAAAACAAATCAACAAATAAATAAAATCTTAAAACCTCATATTTAAACAAAAAGAAATATGTAGGAATCAATTGAATCAAGATTCCACAAATAGGATGTAAACTAAAGGCACAAAGAAATAAAATGAAGAGCTAAGAGATCATTCATGTGCTTGCCAAAGAACAGAGAGATGGCTTTAGTGTAAGACATTTATTATATCTCGAAATATAAATTTTTCTTTTTTACAAACCACATCAAATTTATTCCTCAATATCCAGTTCCACATCATAGCACCACCCGGAGCCCTCACTCTCCTCCCCCCAAACCTGGCCCCAAGGGTACACCCGAAACAGAAAAAAAAAATGAAATTAAATCCAGATCCCTGCTCCTCCCCTGTTGGAAGGGGCCTTGGCCAGAAAGCCCTTCCACAGGTTCCAGCAGGCAGGAGAGCAGAGCCCTCTGCACCCAGAGAGCAAGGCTCCAGCTCCAGCGACAAGAGAGAACATGCAGGCAGGAGCAGGAGCAGAGACCTGCCTGTGGGGAGGAAGAGTGGAAAGGGAGGGCACTGTCTGAGGAGTCCTGGAGTCAGGTCATCCCGGGATGCACGCAGGAGCTTCCGGGCAGCAGGGGCCTGCCCCTGGCCGGCTAACGCTTTGACAGCTCATGGGACAGCCAGTCCAGCCCATCATACAGGCCTGTGCCTTGGGTAGCGCAGGTGGCCTGGATGTACCACGTGCGGCTGCGCAAGTGCTGGAGCCCCAGCTTGTCAGTCAGCTCGCTCACAGGTATGGCATTGGGCATGTCCTGCTTGTTGGCAAACACCAGCAGCACCGCATCCCGAAGCTCATCCTCCTGCAGCATCTTCTGGAGTTCATCAGCTGACTCCTGGACCCGCTCTCGGTCATTACTGTCTACCACGAAGATGAGGCCCTGAGTGTTCTGGAAGTAGTGCCGCCACAGAGGCCGAATCTTGTCCTGGCCTCCAACATCCCAGACTGTGAAACAGATGTTCTTATATTTCACTGTTTCCACATTGAAGCCTATGGTGGGGATAGTGGTGACAATCTCCCCCCACTTCAGTTTGTACAGGATGGTAGTCTTGCCAGCCGCATCCAAGCCAACCATGAGGATCCGCATCTGCTTCTTCCCGAAGATCCGCGAAAAGAGCACGGACACAGTGAGGCCCATGGTGGGGCCCGGGGCAGGGGCTTGGGCAGGGACGCGGGGTGACGACTGGAACCGGCCGGCCGCGGGGCGGGGGGCGGGGGGAGGAGGGGATGGGGCGCAACAGCAGAAGGAGCGAAATATAAAATGTTTTGAGAAGTTTAGACACTTCTCAAAAGAAGAACTACAGGTGGCCATTGACATCTTTAGCCATCATGAAAATGTAAATCAAACCTACATTAAAATCCTATCATAGTCATAGTGAATAACACCGAGAAACTCGACAACAACAAGCTGGGAACAGAAGAGGAGTCCTTAGTCTCTGCCAGTGGGAACATGAATTAGTTCAGTCACTATAGAGGCCAGTATAGAGTTCCATCAAAAAGATAAAAACAGCTGTCATGTGCAAAGGAACTCAATTACTAAGAATGAACTTATGTTATTTGCAGGTAGATAAATACTTCATGCTTGTTTTAAAAGGAACTATTTGGGAAGAGGGCAGTGAACAGTGGGAGGATAGATGAGAACAAGAGAAGGCAATGGGGAAAAGAATCCAGACGGCCTGTGTCAGCCTAAATCGTATTAGGTGATTGGTGGTTTTTATGGTGCTCTTCAGTGATCCACCTTGCAGAGTCCCTGCTTTGACTGCAGCTTCCACATTTTAATGTGATAGATATTAAAATATATGTAAACAAAAAATATCATAAGCAAACACAAGCAAGCTCTGAGATAGCAAGGTTTTCATACATACATACAGAGTATACATACAGAGAAAACAGATCTACAGCGGAACTGGGGAAAGTTGGCATTGAATGGGTCAGCATCATGATAGCAGACTTTAACCTTCAGGCAATAAGGAGAATACGTGTGGGATAACAGAGCTGAGCTGAGCTGTGAGAAGATTTTGTCTAGATTCTCTGGCCTGATTATATCCATTAGAGGTCTCTCTAGCTCCCCAGACACCTTCCTCTTTCCAAGTGACTAACCAAAGTCATACTGGAAAATTAGCAATGTGTTTCATAATCTTCCCTAAAATGCAATCTTGTTGAAAAAGTACCATCTCACCATGAGCAACCAAACTTCCTGTTCTAGTGTCTGACTGCCTGTTCATCTTGAGCTCCGTTCTGAATTCCTCAGATGTAAATCCCGCTGTTTCACTCGGAAATCTCAAGTATTTCAAAGTGAATGTGTTCAGGTGGTGTTCTAGATTTTATCAACAAAACTTTGACTTTTCTATCATCCCCCATGAAAGTAAGAAATTCATAGTATAAATCTAAAAATCATTAGAAAAACTTCATGGTTTTAGTATTTAAATACATATATTTAATTTTAAAGTAGAATCACATAATTTCTTCCCTTCCTTTCCCTCCATTCTGCCCATTCCATGTATTCCTTCCTCACACCCTCTCAAATTCATGGCTTCGTTTTTTCATTGATACACACACACACACACACACACACACACACACATACACAAATAAGTACAGTCTGTTGTATATGCTTACTATTGTTTTTAGGTATGTGATTACTTTGAATTGGATAATTGATTTGGTGGCTCATCCCTGGAAGAGACTAATTCTCCTTACAGCAGTTTTTAGTTGACTGTTGTCTTTGTCTAAGAGTGGGGCCCAGTGAGATTAGCCCCCTCTGTGATAGAATGTCCATTGGTGTTGTTGCTGTTTTGGTCCTGTTTAGGCAGTCATATTGCTGATGTCTCAAGGGTGCAACCTCCCTGTCGATTCTAGAGTACAACACCTCACAGCAAACTTCCTTGTTTTCCATCTCTGACAATCTCCCACATTGTTGCAGGTTATATAAACTGTAAAACCTGTGAACCCCGAGATTACCTTATTTATTGGAAAACTTATTTCTACTTGTGGCGTGGCTTAGCCCAACACACCTTTAATCTAAGAGTTTTCTGCTTGAATATTGTAAACAGGATCAAATAAAATCAACCATGGGTCAGGAGCAAGCAAGCAACCAGTTGACAGGAAAAGAACACAAAGAATAACAGGGAAACAGGAGGATGGGTAGAGAGACACACAGGAAGAAGGGAGGGACAGTCTATTTGAGGCGTTTTGTTTGAGATGGCATAGGAGAAAGGCTTTGGGGGGACATTGGCTGAGGAAGATCAACTGGGTGCTTTCTCTACCTTTCTGAGCTAGCTGCTTTTCACCCCAGCATCTGACTCATGAGGCTTTCTTGGTAAAATCAAATGATTGGGATTTTTGTTATAAAAAAACACCACTTCTTCTATGATTTTCTCTGGGCCTTAACTGCAGGAGCTATGTTGTAGATAGTCATGAAGTCTGGACACCCCACAAGTTCTTTCTGTTTTTACCAGTTGTGTTTTATAATAGTCGCATGACCTCTGTCTTCTGCAAGAGAACCTGTTTTGAGAGAGGTGAGAGCTGAGGATAAGTGCTTCCCTTCCATCCTCTTCAAGTGCCCCAGTTCCACAGGAAGCAGAGGGGAGATAGAGAAATTTGTTAGAAATATTTTTGTCTTGCCTCTACAAAACAAATCTTTCTCAAGCTGAAGGAACACGATTATCTATAGTGATCAATGAAGTTATAGTTTATGAGCTTCCAGTACTAACTATGTCTACAAATCCGATATCCTGTTTCTGTTTGCCTTTCCCCTTCTGAAGTCAGAGTTTCTTCTTGATGCTTAATTTGTTAAAACATTCTGAGTCTGTGAACTCTGGTTTGCCATTCTGCTATCCTTATGTATGACTTTTTTGTTTTGTTTTTGAAGCTGAATGACATTATCTAGTCTTAAGGGCCTCAAACTTGTTATCCCCTAGTCTCAGTCTTCTGAGTACTGGTATAAAGGGTATGTGACACCATGTCTGGTTATATAGTAGTGTTATGAAAAGTTATCTTAGTAACTAGATTCTGATCTCTCACACAAATGGAAGGTTCTGTGCACAGTACTGCAGGTGAGGAGTCACCTCCAGTCTTATCCAGATGTGAACCCTGGGACGATATACCCAGTGGTCCAACCACTTTCTGATTGGATTTCAAGCCTATTCCATAAGATATAACATATTGCTGGTAGTGTTAACAGGGTCCCAAGTCCATGGTTGGTTAAGTCATAGGCCCTGGGGGGAAATCCTGGCACTGGTATTCTACTAAAAAGACATAGTAATTAATGATCTCCTAGATCTTACCTTTGTATCTATAGATTAGTGCATCTTTCAACTCTCCTCAGAGGCACGTCTTTTTATAGTTGGTGGTGATGTTAGAGACCCTCAAGTGGTCAACATGCTGAGAATAGGAAACTGGGACATCTACATCTCATATCACCTTTCCCCAAGGCCCATGGATCATCACAGAAGAGGAGGCAGAAAGATGGCAAGAGGCAGACTGAGGGAATGAGGTCTGTAGTTAAACAATATTTTCTAGACATGACAGTGCTGTTGTTCACATGAACTCAACAGCTGGGACTGCATGCACAAGATGTTCATAAGACCAGACCTACCTACCAAAATCCCAGCATGAAGTCCTATCCCTTGGTATTGACAGTTAAGGGCTACTGGGAGAGGGAGAGTCACTTTCCTTCAGTGATGTGGAACTGAGAGGCTGCCCACATTCCAGTAGATGGTACCACACCCACGCACACACAGGCAGCACTAAATGGATTCATGAGTTATTAAATTAAAGTGAGAAGGGTTGATAGGGGAAAGTGGTGTGTGTGTGTGTGTGTGTGTGTGTGTGTGTGTGTGTGTGTATACAATAAAGCCAATAATTTCTTTAGACATTCCCAGCTCATTGTGAAAAAAAATCAAATTCGAAAATATGAATGAATTTGTATGGACCCCAGTCATTGGGAAGGCCCATACTGAACAGGGCAAGCATTCTTTACAGCCTTCACAGCCAGACGAAACAGAAGAAAACACCATCTTATAAAATGGGCAGTTCAAAACAGATTCTGGGTAGGTTTTACATGTAACTCCCAAAGAAAGGTGATTTCTCTCTTTCTTCCATGAAAGTACATCAGTTTGTCACTTCTCTATAAGCTTCTTCTTGAGATTCAGTTATATTCATTTAAGTACTTGTGGGTGTTTTGCTTGCATGCATGTCTTGTGCATTAGGTATGTGCAGTGCCTTCAGTGGTCAGAAGAGGGCAGCAGATCTCCTGAAACTGGAGTTAGGGTTAGGGTTAGTTACTATGTTGGCACCAGGAATGGAACCTGGGTCCTCTAAAAAGGCAGTCCACCCTCTTAGCTGCTGATCTAGCTTTTCAGTCCCTGCATTTCATTTATCTTGCCATTGTAGGACCAAGTCATTACAAGCTCAATAGAGGCCTGAGTCTCAGTAATTTACCCTAGGCAATACCTTGTTCCAAGAAAGACCACAAACTGAGACTACCCAGGAACAGACCATTCAAAGGAAATTCCTAACATTCCAACTACTGTAGATAGGATCACCTGTCACCCCTAGACAAATGTCAGCCAATGGGGGTTCTGAACCTTAGAAATCTCTCACCCCCCCCCACCTTTGCTACTATAAAAACCCAACTCCAACTGAACTCTCTGATCACTCCAATACATTGGACACACGGAGAGCTTGTGTTTGCAAACTTGGGTAAGAATAAAGGCTCTTTGCTTTTCCACACAAGACTTGCTCTCCAACTTGGTTTTAGGGGGACTTTGTGATCTGGGCATAACCGCCATTTTCTTTGAGTCATTCTAAAGCAAAATAAATTAAAAAAAATAAAAAAATAAACTAATAAGATTAAGATGAGCATTTTCTCGTTAAATTAATTCTTCAAGAACTGTGTAGAGTGGTAGTCTTCAAGAGTTTATGGAATACATGCAAATTGCAAGTGTTATCACATATTTTGGGTGGAAGGACAATGAATCAGTAGCCTTTATTCAAGTAGCTTACTGGAGACCATTTTAGAACCACTGCAGTGGAGGTATGGAGCACCTGCTGATTTCAAGATAGGAATGTGGCTCTTTCTCAAATGAAGAAGTGACATTGATGGCCTGTAGTGAAGGAAAGAACACTTTCCACTGGAGAAAAAGCAAGCAACAGCTGTAGTGGCGAGCACTTACCTAAGGTAGAAGGCATGATTGTAAGGGGCTCGGGATCCCTTCTCACTGCTGATACCAAAAAGGTAGCACAAGAGAGAAGTCCAAGAAGCTTCCTTAGCACTGTCTTCTTTTTGCCAAGTAGCCTTGCCTCTTCTTGGCCACTCTGGGAAACCACGAGGCCAGCGCTGTTCTACAAATGAGGACATTTTGCTGGAGGGGAAGGAGCCTGCTCACAACGTAATGGTTTAGATAAAACGGTGCTGTTCCCTGTGGGGCGGCAGCTGGCAGTGGACCACCAGGGCCAGCAGGCTCCCAGGCAGGGAGCCAAGGGAGGACCTCTATGGGTCCCAAGTGAGAGGGCAGCCTGCAGGGTGAGAGAGGATAGACACCATGCAGAGAAAGTGGGTATAGTTTATTTAGTAGGTTACAGAAGCGAAGGGGAAAAGGGAGGGGGGAGAGGAAAAGGGAGAGAGAAGAAGGGAGGGAGAGAAGGAGAGGCCGCAGTCATTTCTTCCAAAGAGAAACAGGGCAGAGAGAGACTGCAGGCTGGAAGTGGAAGGAAGATCCACTTTCCTAGGTGGAAGGGGGAGTGGGCGGGGCTTGTCTCTTAAAGGGACAGGACAGGACAGACCATTACACCGTTGAACTTCAGTTTTCAAAAAACTGTTATTTTATTTAATCCATAAAAGCATTTGTTTTCTTGTTTTGGTGTTTATGAATGCATAGTGCCTTCCTCTATGGTTCCCTGCCATATTCTCTTATCAACATAACTCATTGAATCCAGAAGGTGGGATCTTCTCAACTATGATGGCGGATAGCAAGCCCTAGTGGGATCCTCCTGTCTCCACCACTGCCCTTCTCCACCACTGAGGTTCAGGTGTCCACTGCCATGGCATTACAGGTCCTGCTGAGGATCTGAACTCAAGACCTTGTGAACCATCTCCCAATTTTTCCACAAATATTTTTATATGTAACCCTGGATTTCCTGGTGGGGGGAACCAGTGACCTGTTTTTGGTACCTGAGGTGTTGCCTGGGACACCTGTGAGGCTTGTGTGTAAGCACTTCCTGTCAGAAAGGGTGGTCTTCTTACTTTACATTTCTACTGTGAAACCGTGTATGTGTAGTGTTGTTTTTAGCTTACTAAAAATGTATATAGCCTAAGTTCTGGGCATGATGGGGCACACCTATAATCCTAGCATTCATGAGGTGGAGACAGGAGTATTGAATTTAAACCAGCTTGGGCTTCATTCTGGGCATAGAGAGACCCTGTGCCAAAAGCCAAACTCCCAATCCTGATGAATCAAACCAAATTGAAATAACAACTTCCCAGATACCAACATAAACTGCCGATCCAAATTCAATGATTGCAAAAGGTGGATAACACATTTAGAGATGTTATGAGTGTTGCTATCATGTGATTAATTTTAATTCATGAATGAAATAATCTTGAAATAGCTCTTCCAAGAACATACAGACTTACTTTTCTCTTTACTTAACAGATATGCACCAAGTATATCCCACACCACAGAGAAGCCGCATATGGTTTCCCCCATGCTCCTCTCTCTGAGATCCCTACTTCCACCCTTAAACACCAACAAAAGTGCTTATGGTTTCAGCAAATAAATTTTGGGGGAACACAAATACCTATTCTCTTATAATCCTCTAGGTGGAGCCAGAGATTCCAATGGAACCTTTATCGAGCAACCTTTTGACCTTTGCCTTAACCTGGAAGATCTTGAGATCTAGTCAGCAGCATCGCTGGCCTCTTCCTCAGCACTAAAGTGCCACACTAACCCCAGTAGATTCTGTGTGACAAGTTCCACAGACTGAGGCATCAGACTCCAAAGGGAGGAGGTCTCCTGGAACCGGTTGTGGAACTCTCTAGCCAGAGAGAAAATACTGAGCTGAAGTTCTCGTGGCAGTTTGTCTGCTTTCTCTTCTTCTATTCCTTTTCTGTATTTATCAGATGTTCTTGATAGCCTGGGCCGAGATTCTCAGTGAGAAAATTGGATAAGAAGCCACCCCTTAAATGGGGTCATTGGCCATGACCTCTTCTCTGAGAAATTCAATGCTTTACTTCATAATCATTTATATAATTACAAAATAACACTTTGATAGAATATCTTCCCAACAATATATGAATTTGTATGACTGTGTGTGTGTAGATGAGGTTGGCTCTGACATTGTGGTATAGAAAGCATTGTTTAAGTATAGTTTGAAATTGAACTTTGAGAATTTTTTACTAAGATATCTAGCTTCTGCTAGATGTTAGATAAGGATTACTCATGGAAATTTATTAACTTGATCAGGACCTAGGGTCATAACTAATCACCCTTAAAGACTTTTTGAACTCACTCTTGAAAGTTTGCCATTAACTATAAATGATTTTTGTATTTTGTTCTGTTTAGTGATTATGATTTTATCTGTTCCGTTTGTAATTGATTCTTTGAACCCACCATCTAGGAAATATCACACCTGATTGATTTTGTGCCTTCTTGTGCCAGATGATTATAATAATCATTCTTTGTGATTGCTTCACGGGATACATCTATTAGAATTGTAATACCTGCTTTTCTTGTATAAAAACCCCTGCTTGAGAGCTGCAAAATACACTCAGATTCACACTGCCTCTGTGTTTGTTTCTGTTTGTCACTTACCCACCTGGTCTTCGAGGAAGCACATCCCAGGAAATCCCGTACCCTGCTAGGGTGGTCAGTGGCACTAAAGCAGAGGTTTTCATGTCCTCACATGCTCTATGTGCCCAAAGTGTTCCTGAAAAGCGTTTCTCATTGCCGTGCTGGACACAACTCATTGAAGGCACAGAACTTCCTAAGCCATGTTTTACCTCAAACATCTACTACCTTTGAAAATGTGATACTTGACTAAAAAAACAGATTGAGAAATCTTACATGACACACTTCTGGAAGTTTCTGCTGACTGTTTTGGAAGTGCTTTCTCAATTTCCTTTTTCTCTTTGCCCCATCCGCTGGAGTACCTTAGAGGAAACCCCGTTTTTGAAGATTTCTTCTTCTCAGTTAGCTCTCTTACACCGGACACTTATTGATCTTACCGGACTAGGTCAGATGTCAAGTTGTAAATGTTTCAGAAGGTGAAGCCGTAGAAGAGGATCCTGAATCTCCCGACACACACAATGTGGCTAGAGGAACCTCAAAAGCAACGTGAGTCTCTCTCTTTCCTCGACCTCCTCCTCTCCTTCTCCTTCAAGACAAAGTCTTGCTTTATTCTACTGGCTAGCCTTCTGTGTAGCCCGGGTTGGCCTCCAGTTGGATCTTCTTGTTTCCAGCTTCTGAAGGCTGAGGCTATAGGTGATGTGCTATTGAGCCCAGCCCCTTCCACATGAACTAGGCAGATTATTTATGATTATGACTTTAAAATGTGAACAAATGTCGCAGAAGGATGATGGGGATGGGAGCAAAACAAGGACAGCCTTGGCAAAGAGGGAGGACCTAGTAAATCTTGATAAGTTGGGTAACAGATACCAAAATCCGATCAAACCAAGGGAAGAGAGAGAGCGTATAAAAAAGAAATGGGGTAAAAAGAAAAGGAGAATTAATTAAATACTTTGGAAGATTACTTTGAAGGGAAGGGAGAGCTATAGAAAACATTTAGACACAGGCTCATGATCTGCCAGAGGCTTTATCTGGTTTCCTGTCTAAGTTAAGGGATATTCCCGGATTTGCACAGTGAGATTGTTAAATAATACTTTATTATGTTAATTATATTATACTATATAATAAGCAAGATATAGAAGCATCTTCTGGATATGGTATGGCCATCGCAGCCATGAACTCACAGTAGCTGTGGTGCCTGCACAAGGACCAGTCAGTATTCCAGGGACAGCACTCAGTGGACGCAGTGGATTACACAAACAGAAAGAACACCAGGAACAAAAAAGCAGAGACCATGAATGGGGAAGCGAGAACGTGCCGGGATGCCTGGGGATGGGAGTGTAATGGCGAGAGGGGACTCAGGATGGGTATGATCACAATACATTGCTTAGATGTGCGAAAGTATCAAAGAATAAATAAAAGATGTTCTAGTCATAGAAAGAAATGTACAACAAATCATTAAAATGTTTAAACTTTAAATCTTGCTTAAAATCTCATCAGTTCGTTACAGCTGGCTTCAGCAGGACCACATTGTACTGCAGTCCTGAAAAACACTGTTTTTTTGCTTGCTTATGTTTGGTTTTGTTTTGTACTGGGGACTGGGAGTGCTGTCCCCTGCATGCTGGGGAAGTAAGTACTCTACCCCTGAGGTACACCCCAGCCCTTTCTTCACTTTTAATTTCTACGCAGAATCTCACTGGGTGTTGTGGGCTTGCCTTGAACTCCCTCCATACCCCAGGCAGGTCTTAAATTTAATCTAGTTCTTCCCTCACCTCCTGAATAGTTGGGACTACATGCCTGTTATACCAGACCTGGCAGAAAAATAACCCTGCTGGGAATACCCTTCTGTACAAATAAATGCAGTTCTTTGTGTGGCATAGAGTTCTAGATTGAAGTTGGTGCAACAAATGCAATGCATTTAAGGCTGGGTAAATGCTGGGCTATCAAGGTAGATATAGGCCCTTGCTGTCAAGCCTGAGGATCCACATGGTAGAGGGAGAGAACTGGCTCCGATAAGTTGTCTTCTGATTTTCATGAATGCACCATGGCATGTACATACACACATAATAAATAAATAAATAAATAAATAAATAAATAAATAAATAAATGAAATCAAAAGCTAAGGATGTGCAAATGCTGCTCATTGGTGCTTCTCGGGGGCTAGCCTCAGGGCCTAGCCTCAGCAACACAGCCATCTCCTCTCTTCAGTGCATGCTCTCAATATGCTCTTTGGATCAACATAAAAAACAGTATTTGAGTTTATAGTTCTCCAGTGGAACATACTTTCATTCATTTAATGATCACTTCTAATTTGAGCAGAGTAAATATACTGCTCATAATTTTGCTCAGTTTTTGAATTGATTTTAGAATTCTTTATATGTGCTCAGTAGTGATACTATAAGGGCTTTCTCTTCTATGTGTATTCATGTGTGTGTGTACACATGTGCATGAGTGTATGTTTTACATTATTTATTTTATATAGAAGCTTTAATTTTTATGGTAATTGTTTTCATGTTCTGCTCATAAAATTCTTTCTTTATAAAAACAAGTTTGTATTTTTCTTTGTTATTTACTAGTAGACCCTAAGATTGGTTTATTCCCAGGAAGTATTTAAGTCTCCCATGCTCCTAAATTACCTTCTGCACTCTCGCATCGAGCCTGCTGCTTGATAATCTTGGCTTCCCTAGTGACAGAGAGGAAACTAATCTGTTTTTCTTTTTGTTCTAGCCAAAGGTGCTCGACACCCCCAGCTGATCCCTTGGGTCCTCACTGTTGTTTTCATCTCACTTCTCAGTGCTTGCTTTATCGCAAGCTGTTTGGGTAAGTTACTAGGCAAACGAAGCTCATCTCGAATTATTTGCCCCAAGAATTTACAAAGTGCGCCGGAAGCCTCCCTTTTCCTCAGTGTGTCCACACACAGTGCCTTCGCTGTCTCGGGCGATGGTCAGAGCTGTGCACTTGATTTTCCAATGTAGATGAGACTGCTCTGTTTGCTTCCAAAACAGCACTTTGCTGAGGGACGATTGATATATAAAACTCAATGCTTCAGATGTGTCCACCTCAAGACTGGGGACAAATAGGTATCCTTGAAGCCATCAGCACCTCTGACCTTGCAGAAATCTGATTCTCTCTAATATCAATCCTGAAGATAAGGTTGCTATGACTGAATTAGTATGGTGTTGGTCTAAGACAAACAGGCTGCAGGAAAGCATTAATTGCGGTACAAATTCTCATAGGTATTTCCTTATCTAAAATAAAGGCAGATGTTTCACAGTTATGGGGAAAGGAGAACTTTGTTAAACTAATGTTTTAGACATCATTGATTATATTTATCAAGTGAAATTGGGTTCTTGCATTATATCATGTACAAACAACAGCTCGTATAGTAAAAACAGACCTCTATAAAACAGAATTTTTGTACTGCATTAATGTGTGGAATGTAATCTGTCAAAACAATTGGAAACATGCCAGCAATATAATAAAAATGGACAGAGTCTTAAGATGGTATTCTAGAGAAGAGAAAATGAAAAGATTACAAATACACGCACTGGCAGCGCCTTGGTTGCTAGGGAAGTACGACTGCCACTCACGATGAGTCAACACTGCAAAACTCCAGGGATGCAATGACGAAATGCACACACCATCTGATGACGAAGACGTAGAAAACCGAGCCCAGGGTGCTTACCCTCAGGAGACAGCACAATGCATGAGCCTGTTCAGAAAGCTTTCTCACAGACCCCCACTTACCATGCCTGTGACTGCCACCAGAAACGGAAACAGGAGGACTTACTCTCTTTGGGATGCAAGGTCAACACTGCTCAGAGCAGCACAGTTCGCATCAGCCCAAGGCTGGATGCAGTAGATACGCAAGAAGTCAGAGAGACGGAGGCGTTGCACTGTGTGGAGACAGTAGACGACTTTCCAGCTATGAAAATGGATGAACTGCAACTGTGGGCAGCAATACTGTTTCAGAAACAATGCTGAGCAGAAGTCAGCACCAATGGATGCATGCCACCTGAGTCCACTCAGAGAGAATCCCAAAGAAAGTCATTCTGATCGGATAGCACCAGGCTAAAATGAAAACAAAACACAGGGTGAAGATTTTAAAAGCCATGAGATGGTTAACTGCAACGGAATAGTGGGCTGTGTTTGGGGGATGATGGCTGTGTGGGGTGTTGGCAATGTTCCATTTCTTGAACTTGGCAGCCTTTGCCCAAAGTGTTCACATTACACTAATTTACGAACCTGTACATTTATTTTTTTTAACTTTTTAATATTAATATTTGATTATGTTTCAAATGTTTGACATACAGTAAAAATATCACTAAACTCGTGAAGTTGATAAAGTTTTGTAGAGTTAGCCCACTGTTTACCAAAATCCTCACTCTTATGCATATTACAATAGAATAAACCGAAAATGGCAGGCACCGAAAAGATTCCAAAACCTCTAGTGTAAATCACAAAGTGAATAAAATTATTATAAAATATTAGCTTTCTGCAGTTGCTTTTAGTAAATTTACCTGGGGTCACGGAATGGGGCATAGGAAAGAAAAAGTGTGGGGACCTTAACTGTGAGGGAAGGAGAATGGTGGGGAGATCAGCCCACTTTTCTAATTGGTGGCCACACAGGGAATAACTGTTTGTCCTCCCAACAGTGACTCATCGTTACTTTTCACGCTGGAAGAGAGGAGCAGGGACAGTGAAATTCTCAGATTACCACACAACACTAACGTGTGTACGAGGGGAGCTGGAGCCTGGAGCTACAGGTAGCAGAGGAAACTTCTAATTTCCTTCTACGCAGCCTTTAAAATGCATACATAGTAAATCAGAAAGGACACATGAGAACTGGATACAAGAATAAGTATCAGTCAATTGGGACAGAATAACTTCTCAAGACTGTAGTCAAACAGCACAATACATTATTGAGTTTGTGTTTATGGTTCTGGGGATCAAATGTAGGGCCTTGTGCATGTTTGGCAAATTGCTCCCCAACAGACCTTGCTTTTGTATGTTTGGTTTTTGAGACATAGTCTCACTATGTAGTCAAGGATGGCCTGGAACTAGGTACTTTCTTGGCTCTATCCCCTAAGAGTTTAGATTACAGGTCTGCATCATTACCCTAGATTGGTTTTTTTGTCACCTGAATTATAACAAGAACTTTAATTTTTCCTTGGTTCAGATATATCATAAGGACAGTTTCTTCCCAATTAAAATAACTTTGCTGAGATGTCTATTTTTTATTTATATTCTGGAATTTATGAAATCATGGAGAATTAAGAAATACTTGAGGTCTGCATATTCTTTGCTTTTCTTTCCAGTAAAATATCCTGAAGAAGGCTTTGTTATAGGAACATGTAGCTTAATTTTAAACTAAACACTTTCTCTCCCTCCTTCCTCCCTTCCTCTTGTCAATTCTTTCCTTCCTTTCTTTATAAAGTATCAAACTCAGGACTGCTCACATTCTAGGAAAGTCCTTTACCATTGAGCAACACTGCTATCTCTGGAAATATGTTAAATATGAAAGCAAATACATGTAAGGACACTGAACAGCATTAATATCTTCTGAGGTAATAATTGTAGTAAGACAGCATTCCCCTGCCACAGATGAAATGTTCCTTTGTAATTAATGCTTACTCCAATTCTCACCCAAGGAGATACCTGGAACTGTTGCCCTGCTAGCTGGATAGCCTTCCAGTCCAACTGCTACCTTCCTCTTAATGACAACCAGACATGGCACGAGAGTGAGAGGAACTGCTCAGTGATGGGCGGTCACCTGGCAACCATCAACACCGAAGCCGAGCAGGTCTGTATTACTTCAGCTCACACTGTTGCTCCGGTTTCATTCTGTCGCGGTGGTGAACACAACCAAGAGTAACTTCAAAGAGGAAAGGGTTTATTTTGTCTTGTAGTTTACCGTCCATCATGGGGAGATTTCAGGGCAGAAATTCATGCAGGAACTTGAAATAGAAACCAAGGAGAAACACTGCTTTCTGGCCCACTCAAGGCTCATACTTAGCTAGTTTCTTTTCAGCTCAGAACCACCTACCCAGGAAATGCTCTGCCCCCAGTAGGCTGGGGCCCTCCTATGTCAATTAACAATGCACACAATCCCCATAACCATGCCCACAAGCCAGTCTGATTTGAATATCCCTCACCCCAGATTCCCTTCTCAAGTAATTCTAGGCTGTGTCAAGTAGACAGTAAAAGCTAACTAGGACCACCAGTTATTCTGTTGCCTTAAGTTACTTTGTTGAGAAGATTTTTTTTTTTTTTGGCTCCCTATGTATCATTCCTTCATGGTCTTCATCAGCCTGGAAATCTCTTTCTTCCTTTCCCAATCCTTCCCTTTCCTTTTCCCACTCCCTTCTTTTCTCACCTCTTTGATTTTTTGATTTTCAACTGTGCTTTTTATAATAACAAAGTCCAACATACATTATAGCATAATTTACTCTTTTTTGATAATAAAAAACATACACCCAAGGAATTATATAGTACAATGCATATCTCTCTTCTTTTTAAATTTAAAATAGGTTCTCTTCTCATGCAAAACATCCCAATCACAGTTTTTATCCCCCCTCAGTGCGCCTAAGCCAGCCCCCCCCCCAAAAAAAAAACAACTTTTTATGACCACAAATCTATTTCCTCTCCATTTTCTCTTCAGAAAAAGAACAGGTCTCCAAGAGATGATTACCAAACAGGGCACAATGAAAAGATACAATAAGACAAACCAAAAGTCCTCATATCATCAAAGCTGGACAGGTAACCCAATAGGAAGGAAAGAGTCTCAAGATCAGGCAAGAGTCAGAAATCCACCCACTCTCACTGACAGGAGTCTCACAAGAACATCAAGCTAATAGGCATGGCACATACACAGACCTGGTGTAGGCCCTGTAGAAGTGTATGGACTTTATATGTTAGAAAGTTAGTCAGTTTCCTCTATGTGGCCAACCTCTGGTCTTTCCAGACTTGAATGATGAGTCATTTCTCCCAGAAACCCACCCTTTCCTACTCTGCTCTCTCTCGTCTATAACATAGGCCCTGCTAAGGCTCTTTGAGCACATAGGGATGTCAGATTTACTCCAGTGACTGCAGTTCTTCCAATGACTCCCACTCGATGGAAGGCTCAGGGCACACTTTCCTTGCTTTTATATTCCCAATATCCTGCGCAAAGCCAGGCATACAGTAGGACTCATGAGAACACAGTAGGACATACAGTAGGGCACATGAGAATATAACTACATGAGTGGCTAATCAGGACTGAAGTGGCTTCTTATATATGGAAAATAGTTCTAATGTGTGGTACTAATTCTAAGTAAATGCAGTTGAAGGTAAATTCAGTTTATAAAGAGATGAAATTGTTTTCTTCCTGTGATACATTTTTGAATATGTGTTCTAACCCAGTTTTTGCTTTTCCTTGGTCAACAGGATTTCCTTAGTGATTCTGTCTCCTTGACTTTGCCATGTGTAGGTTTTCTAACTCTTCAAATGAAATAGAATAGGATGAAAGAGCCAAACTATTAAAAATTTTCCCTTTTATTGAAAATAGATTATTTACTCATACAATATATTCTTACAATTTCCACTCCCTCTGCTCCTACCAGTTCCTTCCCACCTCCCCTCCAGATACACTCTGTTTCTGTCTCTTATTAGAAAAGAACAGGTTTCTAAGAAATAACAACTCAACAAGATAAAACAAAATATAATAAGATGTAGCAAAAACTATCATATTGAAGTCTGACACAGCAACCCAACAGTAGTAAAAGAGTCCCAAGAGCAGGCAAAAGAGTCAGAGACTGACTTCTTCCTTTAGTCTGGAGTCCCATGAAAATATTAAGCTAATAGCTATTATATGTGTGTGGAGGATCTGGTGTAGACCCATGTAGGCCCCATACTTGCTACTTCAGCTTCTATGAGCTCATGTGCATCTTGTCTAGTTGATTCAGAGGACCTTGTTCTCCTGGTATCTTCCTCTGGCTCTTACAACCTTTCCACCTCTTTTCTGTGGGATAATCTGAGCTCTGACAGAGGGAGTTTGATGGAGACCTCCAATTTAGATTCTCTCTCTCTGCATAATGTCTGGCTGTGGGTTTCTGCATTTGTTTCCATCTGCTGCTAGAGGAAACCTCTCTGCTGATGACTGGATAAGACACTGGTCTATGATTATAGCACAGTATCATTAAGAATCATTTTATTGATTTTTTTAAAAAAAAGACCTGTAGTGTTTGATTTTACCTTAGGACTCTTGGCTATCTAGTCTCTGACTCTTAGTTACCCAAGCAGTGTTGAGTCTGGGTTCCTTCTCAAGAAGTGAGCCTTTAACCAAATCAGACATTGGTTGACTACTCCCATGAGTTCTGTGTCACCATTGTCCTAGCATGACTTTTCAGGCAGGACAGATTGTAGGTCAAATGTTTTATGACTAGGTTGGTGTCTACCACATTTCTCTTTTGGTAGCCCACACCAAAAGACTAGAAAGTAAGGGTGAAGGTTCCATGTAGGCACCAGTTTGATTTCTCTTTGTTCAATGAATTGTGTGGATGTTGTTTTTGGCAATGGGACACCCATGTCAGTTTACATAAAACAACCCATTGTCTTAACATCATCTTGGGTTGTTTGGAGATTTCCATGAGACCTTGTTGGTCAACAACTTAATTAAATGCAACCCAGTCCTGCCACTGGAAGCCTCACTTGACTACAAGAGACAGTCAGTCAAGACTCTGCATTTCTCATTACTAGGAGTCCCCATTAGGATCACCTTCAAGACTTCAGGAAGTTTCCACTGCACTAGATTTCCACACCACCCACAAAATGCCTCCCAATTCTAGCTGTCTATTCCTACATTCTCTCCTTTCATTCCATTTCCCCAACATCTGATTCCTCCTTCTCCTATCCCCACTGACCCCCAGGTCATCCATAAAATCTATTCCATGTCCCCTTCCTAGGGAGATCCATGAACCCCACAAAATCCTATTAATATACTAAATGATATCTCTCGGTCTATGGATTATAGCTTGAGTATTATTTACTTAATGGTTCATATCCATTTAAAAGTAAATACATATCATATTTGTCTTTCTGGGTCTGGGTTACTTCACTCAGGATGATTTATTTTCTAATTCCATCCATTTGCCTCCAAATTTCATGATGTAAGTTTTTAACAACAGTAATACTCCATTGTGTAAATATACCACATTTCCTGGATGTTTTGTGTCAGGAGTTTTTGGATTGAACATTTTGACTGATGAATCTTTTTCTTCTATCTTCAGCACCTGAGAGTCTCTCTTTCATCTCCCATATTCTGCTGGTAAAGCTTGCCACTGTAGTTCCTGATTGGACTGCTAAATTTTTTATTTCCAAAATTCCCTCACTTTGTGTTTTCTTTTTTGATTCAATTTCCATTTTCAGGTCTTGAACAATTTTATTCATTTCCTTCAACTGTTTGCTTGTGTTTGCTTTAATTTCTTTAAGAGATTTGTTAATTTCCTCCAATTTTTTTGTTTGTGTTTTTCTGAATTTCTTTCAGGGCAGGATAGCTGGGCTCTAGAGAGACATAGTGCCCTGACTGTTATTGATTGTATTTTATGCTGCCTGCTGTGTAGGCATCTGGGTTTGGGGTAATTATATTTCTAGGTTCTGGTTTCTGGATTTGTCTTTGTTGGGTGGGTGTTTTGTTCTTTGGTTTCTGGTTCCTCTCTGTACTTTCAGAGAATTTCATGGCTGTGTGTTGCCTGTTTTCCTGGTTTGCATGGCTGGTGTGTTTACAGGGAAGGCCTGCTGGTGTTGGGGGCTGAGATACTGGGATGAGCTGGGGGAAAGAAGGTTGGAGGAGAAGTTCTTTGTGATCATCTGGAAAAGGGGTCAGAGAGGAAGGGGAGACCAGAGCAGGTTTCCTACTACAGAGCTGAGGATGAGATTGGGGACTGGATCTCAGGAGCAGTAGCAGAGATGTGGATCTGCCTGCAGCCTTCTTGTTGCCATGGGAGGAGTGGCCCTTGGGTCATCAGGAGGTGCCTGTGATAGCTGGGGTCTGGGACAAGGCAACAGGGAGCGAGGAAGGTTAGAAGGAGATCTGTGGGACCCTCAGGAGATGGGAGCAGGAGGGCAGGGAAGGGTATTCTGCTGCAGAGCTGAGGATGGAACTGTGGGAGTGGGTCTGGGGAAACCATTTTTGTTTTGTTAAGTCTCTAAAAAAATCCAAGCCTATTCAGCATGTGCTATGGGGGTTGCTGACACAGTCACATTTGATTTTCATGGTGACTCTATGAAGCAGTGGTGTTGACCGAAGTTTTTGTCTCACCCAGTCCTGCAGTCATTCAATCCCAAAGAAGCACACAGAAGTCTACATTAATTATAAACTGATTGACCTAGTAGCTCAGACTTCTTATTAACTCTTAGAACTTATGTTAGCTCATAATTCTTGTCTGTGTTAGCAATGTGGCTTGGTACCTTTTTCGGCAAGGCAGTCACATCTTGCTTCCTCTGCAGTGGGGTCACGACTGCAGACTGAAACTTTCCTCTTCCCATAATTCTCATTGCCCTGCCTCAACTTCCTGCCTGGTCACCTACTTCCTGCCTGGTCACCCCACCTATGCTTTCTGCCTGGCTACTGGCCAATCAGTGTTTATTAAACAAGTACAAGAAACAGATCTTTACAGGATAAAACCATTGTCCCTCAACACAGTGGACTTGTCAAAAGATGCAGGGTTCGGCGAGTAAGATCCCTCTGCTACTTTAAGCAGGTTTGAGAACAGACTTATCTGATACTGTGATGGTTATGCCTAACCCATGATCTCACTGACCTTTTTGCTTCTTATCAGCCTGATGACATCACCCAAGAGCACTTACCAAAACATGTACATTTTGTATGCAGAACTTTGTGACTCAGTTTTTGGACAGACGGTTTCCCTATTTCCTGGGACTTAATGATGAGAACACAGAAGGCCTGTGGCAGTGGGTGGACCAGACACCATTTAATCCGCACATGGCGTGAGTATTTTGGTTGGGGCTAAACAGTATTTATAGGCAAAGGTGAGAAGAGTTGTCAAGGAGAACTCATTTTAAAGCAGGGTTGTGGTGATACTTTGTTTATGCTATAACAAATAAAGCTTGCCTGAAGATCAGAGTGCAGAGCTAAGTCACTAGTTAGTCATAGAGGCAGTGATGGCACACACCTTTAATCCCAGCACTGGGGAGACAGAAGTAGATGGATCTCTGTGAGTTCAAGGCCTCCCTGGGCTACACAAAATTGAATCTGTCTAAAAGAGAAACAGAGCTCACACAAAGGTGATCCCAGTACTTCGGATCCCACACCTTTAATCCCAGCATTAGGGAGGTGGAGACAGGAGCGATATGGCTGGGTGGAGAGAGGAGGAGACAGGAGCTCACAGCAGTCTGGAGATGCAATCTGAACATGTAGTCTGAGGATTCATAGGGACAGAATCGTCCCTTTGGTCTGAGCATTGGTAGAGATAAGAACCCTAGTGACTGCAGCTCTGCTTCTCTGATCCTTCAGTTTTCACCCTTTGATAGCTGACTCTGCGTTTTTATTATTAAGACCAATTAGAATCTGTGCCACATAGGCAACACCTATGTAAGTACTTTCTCAGTAGAGCATCAGCAGTTGAGCAGTCCCTGCATGCTCTGTTCCCACCTCACAGTAGCCCTGACTTCAGCAAAATCTGCAGTACAGTGTTTGTACACTGATTGTTCAGTGTTGAAAGAACAGATACCATGAGAGCAATGTGAAGATGGGTTGAAGATTATCGTTTTGGTAAACAATACTATAGGAGCTAAAATTACTTTTGAAAGAATTTTAACCTGGTTATTTTCCTTCTTGAAATCAGTATTGTATAGTATAAATATAATAGAAAACCAAAAGTATAACTTAAGCTTCCCTAGCAGTACTGCTAAGAAAGTAAGAAGATGTTAGAAATAGTGACACACACACAAATAATTCTCCTAGTCATGAGATGGAATAGAAGGGCTGATAGTTTGAGGCAACCCTGGGCTACATGGGGAGTTCTAGGGAGGCTGGAGCTGCACAGTGAGACCATGTTTCAAACAGGAAAAACAACAAGACAAATCGAGAGAGAGAGAGAGAGAGAGAGAGAGAGAGAGAGAGAGA